GACTTCAGGCCACGCCGCTCTAACGGAAGGAAGTGTGCTCCGACAGTCAATCTCCTACAGCCCATTCTTCAACCCCTCTGTTCAGAATATACTCTTCCTATCACACGCCTTCCCATGACTTATCTCCCTCCTCGTAAGAAACCGAGTCTGAGTGATCGCAGCCGTTAGGATTACCTTATTAGCCTTAATCACTTCCCGATACGTGTACGGAGAAATCGACATCATCTGTATGACCACTTAAAAGCGCCGAGTTAGCGAGCGACGTCAACAGCCTCCGGTTCTCTGATAAACCTTTCATCACTAGTGACCAATGATCGCTTCTAGCTTACTCACCACCTATCCCTTATCCCCCCCCCACCATCCTATCTGCATTTCCATTTCTCCTTTCATCGCAAACACAGCCCATCCATGAGTACGAAGGCTGATTTGGTTTTGCATGCACCATGACGTCAGTATTTAGACAAAGCGCGTCTGAAAGATCAGTAGATCAAAGCCGTTCGCTCTGACAAACCAACAGGTAGCAGTTTCCAAAGCCACGATTTACAGTTCATGACCATTAAAGTGCTGAGTGTAGACTGCCTGCCACTTCAGTGTTGACCGCACAAAATGTGTCACTCCAAAATATGTAATTAGGAAAACTGCGGCATCTTAAACAAAGACAGTACTTAAGTGAAATATTAAGACAACCGACAGATCAGGATATGAACAGCCAGTAACTGTGATTGTTTAGTTGTGGCAACTGAGTGGGAAAGCTTCAGAAAGATGGTCCCTAGCATAATACAGTGAAAATGCCGTCATGAGTGAGTTAGGCAGTGGCTGAGACCAAGAGATCGCGTGGAACATTTCCGTTTGGTCGTCGTCGCTGATTGTAGACTCTGCGTGCAGCCATCTGACCAAAAGTTTCAATATTAAGTTGAAGCTCCCGCCGCGCCGTAGACATTGAAAATCCGTGATTAGGTCTCGAGCGATCAAAGGAGTTGAAACGACCGCGTTCACCATTTCCACCTCCTCGGGCTCCGCCTGTCGGTCCGCGCGGTCCCCCTTCCGACCGGCTTATTTGATCGAAGAAGCACTTTTCGCGCACGTAATATTCCCCACTGAATGATGAAAAAATAACCACTGACGTCTTACACAAACTGAGGAACAAAACAAGTAAATCGGAGTGATGCTAACTGCTCAAAATACATTCGCCCTACAATCCAGCTGCCGTGTACGCGTTAGATATGATTTGAAAGGACATTCAAAATGAAAGTGAAGACTCACTAACCGAGGAATGCCTGAAATCGACAGTTTTAACCTAGCCACCTTTAAGTTGAATAGTGCAGAAAAGAAGAAAGTTTAACATTTTCAGACACATACTTGGCGAGAGTTTGGATGGGTTCCGTTGTCGTAGTCGGGGCAACATCTGTGGTTCCAGAAGAGGAGTCTCCTGATGCACCACTTCCCGAAGCAGTACCTCCAAAAGCGCCAGTTTCAACACTCGTCGGATTCACGCTTCGATCTCCAGAGCTGAGTTTGTCCTGTTCATATGGATTTTCAGCGTTCAGGTTAATCTTCGCTAATTCCGCCTCCAGTTCGGCGTTGGCGGTCTCAAAGTCGTAAGGTACAGAGCAGTCGACTTCTAAATAGAAAAAGGTGAGCAGGCGGTTTACCGCAAATCAGCAGTTAACTAAAAGTATCAAAAAGGATAGGAAACCAAAGTAGGTCTTTCAGAGAGTTTCCCTACAAACATTGAATAAATTTTAAACATTAATTGTATCAAACATAAGCTGCATACTGCCTATTTGTCATTAAAAAGAAAACTAGATGAAAATAAGGACATGTTGAGATAGAGACATACCAGGAGCCGCTGGAGCAGTTACAACACGCACGGGACCACTGCGACGT